GATACCTGGTATCAGAGAGGGGCATCTTGTACCAGGGCAGAACAAATTGAACAACTACCACAGCCAAGCACTGATAGCAAAAATCTGGGCGAATGGAAACTGCAAGGTGAACAATGTCAGCCAATGGACCTTGAAAAGATTTGCTCATCCTTGGACTGGTGAGATCGACAGCATTTAGGAAACCACTTAAGCAGAACCCTTGGAGAGTGCTCCACATCAGGGACGCTGGGTTGATACTGGGTAGCTTTTCCCCGTCCCAGGTTACTGTGGCAATTGGGAGGGTTGGTACGACTTTCCCATTTGTCTGCCCCCTTCCCTCATAAACAGGAAGGAAAAAAAAGAAAATTTTAATTACAAAGCATACTTTATTGATTTTAATTACACAGTATATATGGTATGTGCATTATATGCAACAGAAAACATTTTAAGACATCCTTATGGAGACATTTTCTGTAGTATTTATACAATACAGTAAGTAAGGTATCAGATTTTGATAAAAATTTAGATATGTATGCTAAACAAAAGGAAAATATTACAATTTTTAACAACTGTGTATAACAAAATCATGGTTGTTGCTGTTGCTAACTAGAAATTTTATGTTCAAATTTATGTCAGACACCAAACAGTTACTATAATTACATTTTGTGCTATTCTTTTTGTGGCTTTAAGTAGCAATGCAGCTGATTATACAGTAAATCTAGCTTTCATTTTGTATTGAATAAACTTCAGAAAAAAATTATTCTGAGATAAATCTGAAATTACACAGCTAAATCAATTTTTATTAACAGGCTTTTAAAACATAGATCCATACCAAAATAACATGTAGATTTTAACCAATATCCTAAACATGTATCTCCTTCTTTTGGGGATTAGGAGTCAGTAAAAGGGTTCAGATTAATCACGAGGTTAAAAACAACTTAAGAATGTATTGGTAGGTCATAAGAAAATGTTAATGAAAATGCACATCTTTTTGACTGTTACACAGGCATTTGTATCAGAAGATAACAAAAGTCCAACTCGTTCCATGCTTTCCAGAAGCAAGCCACAACGTGACTTTCTTGGCTAGGTTCTCCTGAAGCTTGTGAATCATGTTTTTGAATGCCAGTAACACTTAATCTTATTAGATATGTATAGAAAGTAATAAAACTTGAAGCTTAGTAACTTGTCTTATTACTGGCATTTTACTCTAGGGAGAGTCAGCTAGAATTTACTTTAAAAAAAAAAAAAGGAAGAAGCAAATTCCCTGCAATGCCTAAAAACAGCTATTTCCCTGAAAGTTAATTTCTGTGTATTTTTCATACTCACCGCAGAAGTTCCTGCTGTGTTGAGTCAAATATCCATAAAGTCCTTAGTTCTTTCCTCAAGGCTAAATGTATGACTGGTTTTGCTTGCCCTAGCGAAACTATAAGCAGCACCTTCTTTCATTTTTAATGTCTGGCTGATAAATTGTATGGTCATCCTCACTACTAATAAGTACAATTAGAAGCTAAAATAAAGACGTTTCTGTAAAACAAAACAAAACAGCAACAACAACAAAACCAGATGATGGGTAATAGCCTCCCTTTCTATGAAGAGCGGATCTGGAAGAACAAAACAGCTCAATTGGAAGGTAAGCTTTGATTCTTGAGGCGGAGTCCTTGGATTTCAATCCCAGTTCAAAACATTTACAGGTGGGGTGACTTCAGACAGTTTATTTAATCTCCCTACATATTTCCTTATTAAAATATTTCCTTATCAAAAAAAATATTCTTTGACCATAGCCGTAATATGTATAGCATAGCATAGCCATGATGTATAGATTAAATGAGAAGAACAAAAAATATTTCAAAGAAATTTGCACAGGGATTGCCCTATGCTAGGCACCCAACAAGTGTCAATTGTTATAATGATACAATGATGCATCTTTAATGAAAAACTTGGCTAACAGGGCCTAAAACTGGCCCTTTTAGACACAGTGCAAATCTATTCTTAAATCTCACATGAAAGAAATGCATATAGTTTCATTTTTTTTACTGTGAATCAGAATAGAATAAATTAGTGGCAGATTAAGCAAAAGCAAAGCAAAGAATAGTTAAGTATATACAGTTTAAGATTATAAAAACAACTGAGTCATTCCTCCACTTTCCTTTCAATAAATACTTATGTAGAGCATGCCATTATTGCATCACTATACCGTTAATACTGAAATTAAAACATACTTGAACTTACTCCCACCAAAAGATGAACAGTAGCAACTGAGAGTAAGTCTAATGCCTCCCAGGTGTTGTTCAAATAGAGAAGATTCATTTTTCTCCTGAGAAGTATAGATAGTAAATCATTTTGTAGAAACCTACCTAATTGCCTCAAAATTGACATAGGGAGAAAGCAAACAGAACTGATAGTTCTTTCTTACTGAGAATTCCATGAGAACTATGCTTTTGGTAATCAAAAACAAACAATGAATCTTTTAAAAATAAAAGATTTAAGATTAAATGTTGAACTGTATTCCAAGATATTGTAAGGTATCATAAAATTCTGAAGGGCGAGTGGAATAAACATACGCATTGAATGCTCAAGGTACCATGCAAAAGAATACAATTAACTACAACTCCTTCCAGTTATGGTCAAAGAATTATTTAAAATAAAAAGGTAGAAAACAAGGTTTGTATTTTTATCATCCACAAAACTTGGAAAACAATAAGTACTTAAGTAAGTTGAAAGCAATATGTTTCGTACAATAGTTCAGAAAAATGAACTTCCTTTATTCACGAGATTTTAATACATAAACAAAATGTAACTGAACCTTTTCCTCCATAACTATGTGCTTTTTAAAACAAAGTAAGCAAACATTGAAGTTACGGAAGCTTGTTTTCCTTCTGTTAAAACAGTTTTCATATTCTGACTTACAACAGTGTAGACTGTCTCTAAAAATCAGTATACCTTTATGAAATTTGAATTTTACTTATGCATTCATTCATGCAACTCATGACATCGCTAATGTACTCTCACTGTGGTGAGACACAGGACATGGGAATAGAAGGCAGAATTCAAGGAAAAGATCAACAAATGTGTCTAGCCACTGGATACACACAAACACACAGAAAGTCACTTGGGTGCATAAAATGGCACATGCCACACTGAGTATTAGAAAGCCTCCAAGTCGTGACTTGAGATTAAAGCTAACCATGAATAAGTCAAAGGGGCAGAAATGCTAGTAAAGGCGTACTGAGCCAACCCCCTGCGTGCAAAGGCTAGTTCAAGATGCTTTGGAGAGATTAGCTAGCTGCAGAAGGCAATGTTAAGAAAGGCAAAGGTGAACCCGCAGAGACTTGGCATGAAATCTGCTTATCTATGTTAGATCATGAGGTTTGTGTTTCGAACAGCAGTCGGTCAGCAACACAAGACACAGGTTGACAAGTTGTGAGAGACTGAGGTAGTTACATCAAATCATTCGCTTTTGCAAAGGGTGGGAATGCAGTGAGAAGGCAATGGGACCCATTCGTGGGACGTTAAGGATAAGCGGAAGAGGGATGCTGATCAGCAAATATCAGCTAATGAAGGCAGAGAAAGTACCACAACTGAGTAATAAGTTTGAGCCCAAGTGGACAGATCCTGAAGGGAAATGAAGATTGCAAAGAGAAAAGACCACCTTTTAGTGCTAACTGAATATGATAGTGTCTGGGAATCATATGATATTTTTCAAAAGATTTACTACACAGGGAACATCATTAAGTTTATTTAGTATGCTGAAAACCCAGTGGCTGGAAAGATAAACAGGGTCATCCAAAGGGTGTAATATATAAACTTGGAGTGATTTGCCTTGTTCGCTTTCCTGTGGCTTAGACGCTGCACTTGAGTCACACTTGGTAGCTTCTATTTATTCCATTCACCATCTCCATGAGGTTATTTAAGGAAGACATTCCATTTTTAATCTAACAGTGGGCAAATAATTTTTGAGGAGTTCACCAGGGAGACTTCATACTCAAAAGCCAACTTTTCCACTGTTTCTTCTGCTAAAAGTTACAGACATGGTTTGTTTTCACTCGAAAAAAAAAATGTAGATAGCAAACAGCACCACTTAAAATTCAATTTACTACATAAATGTTTCAGGTTATTTTACCTTTGGGGAACCTTGTTTTTCTTGCTTTAAAGCTGTGCTCATCTGACCAACTAATAGCAGCAAAATGGAAGGATGCATACCACAAAATAGCTGCAGATTGTTTATGGCTTTACATATTGATCTAAGAGTAGGTTTGACTAGTTTTCACTGAATGTAACTTGTTTATATTAATTAAGATTCTTGGATGTCTACCATCATGTAGATATCATTCAGATTTATTTTGTCAAACCGACAAACATGAGTAAAAGGAAAATAAACTTATAGCTCTGAATATACAGAATAAACTGAAGAGTGCTAAGCCTTTTTATTATAACATATATTTGAAACATTGTTACCTCAAAATCTAAGAAAAGAGATGGAAAGGGAAGGGAAAGGAAGGGAAGGGAAGGGAAAGGAAAGGAAGTGAGGGGAGGGGAGGGGAAGGGAGGGGAGTGGAGGGAAGGGAAGGGAAGGGAAGGGAAGGGAAGGGAAGGGAAGGGAAGGGAAGGGAAGGGAAGGGAAGGGAAGGGAAGGGAAGGGAAGGGAAGGGAAGGGAAGGGAAGGGAAGGGAAGGGAAGGGAAGGGAAGGGAAGGGAAGGGAAGGGAAGGGAATAGACTCAATCCCAGTGCTCTGGCTTTGACCTGGTTTAGTCCTAGATCATTACAGTCACTTAGGGAGTAAACCAGGGTATGGAAGATTCTTTGTCTTTCTATCTCCCTGTTTTTGTTACTCTGTCTTCCAAGTAAATAAAATAAATTTTTAAAAAAGAATTATATGTGTAATTAACAAAATTTATAACAAAATACTGCATGTTCTATAGCAACAGAATAATGAGCGGTTCCAAGTCACCACCTATGACTATTTTTCAAAAGTACACACATATGTATATGTATTGCAGTAAATATCAGTTAAGAGGTCACATAATTTTACTAAGTGAATTTTATTATAATTTTCACAGGCCACACAGAGTACATTTACATGAAGTCTTTTTCCCCAGTCACTGAATTCCTTTTCCTCAAGTTGTAATCTCATAGCAGGAACTGGAGGTTTCACTACCACTCCAAGTCCCACCATCTTACTTTCTGATCGCTCTTTAAAGATGTTACCATGAAGACAGTGAGACCTTGCACCTACCAGGACTAAGGACACCCAGCAAATGTCACATTGTGATCTCCAGCCTAACCCAGGATCCTGAAGAGTGGTTTTAACATTACATTCAGAGTTCATATATATTAAGATTTAATTTGGTTTGGTCGTGATGTATTGATTAAATATTTCAGTGATGTATGCAACAGATATCAAGTATATTATTTTTTAATGAAAGTCTAAGACATTCAGAGCAACATAAATGACAAACTTTAACAATTCTGGATTTCAAAGGAATTATTGCAAAGCACCAATAATCTGTTTTTAGTCATTTAAACAACTTTGCATACCAGGAAATCAAATTTCAAATCAAAGATATGAAAACACAACAAACCATAAATCATCAATATAGCGTTATAAGCATTACAACAACATGGCACCTATATGCCCTAAAATGTTAATACCATATACGTTAAGAAGTCCAAGCCATACGGCTTTAAAAAAAATGAGATCTCCACTTGTAAACTAAGAATCAGTTTAGCTTGGTGTGGGAAAGCAGTGGAGACAAGTGAATAAAGATTGATGCTTCACTTTTGTAGTGACAGAGCTTTGGGGCAAGTGTGTGGATTTTCCTTTCTTGACATGGTCAATGTTTATGGAGAAAAAGATCTTTCCTGGAGAGACTGAAGCTGAGCTAACATAAGTAAAAGCAGAAAGTATTCATTTCATAGGGAAGCCACATTTTTTCAATATTACCGAATAAGCTATACATAAGAACCTGTTACAAATACATCTATACATAGTAGGCATGATTGAAAAACAAAATTAAGACAAATGGCAAAAGATTTCTCTTTAATTCTTCGGTTATAAATAGGCCTTGAGCGACACTTGTTCTAGGAACAATGAACTGATTTTGCTGGTGTCTGTTTTGTGTGTCTCTTAATGACTATGATGGAATTAATTATGCTAGATGGCAGTTTGTAGAAGTATTTGACTTTGATGTGTAACAGTTATAGAATGGATATCGGCCTTCAGTTGAGAGATGCCATATTTAACTTATGACCCGTTGTGTGTTGCATACACTTTTCATCCTTTTATGAATCAAAACTCAGATGCTTTTAACAGGAAGGATACAAGCTATACCACAAACACACGGAACATCTTCTCATGATTCTTGGCATGATGTTACTCAGTCATTGACCCATAGCTTCCTGAATTAAATGAAACATAATGAATCATAATTAGCATGGCATGCTTACTCATAATAACATTATCACAGGAGCAAAGCAAAAATTTGGAAGGGGATTCAATCTACTGCCAAATCAAAGAGCTTCTACCACCCTAACAGTGGTGAAATAAGATAATTAGTTGAGAACTAGTCTAAAAAATAAAGCCGCTTTGGATTAGTTCACAGCATGAAATATATGGAAATCCAAGAGAATAAAATAACAGAATAATCCAGAAAACTTGAGAATCATTAAAAAAAAAAAAGAAAGAAGGGAAGGAAGAAAGAAAGAAAGAAGAAAGAAAGAAAGAAAGAAAGAAAGAAAGAAAGAAAGAAAGAAAGAAAGAAAGAAAGAAAGGTAGATTATATGAAAAACTTTAAAAGAAATTAGTTACCTAGTTACCCTTGGACTGTTTTTCAGGACTTTCCCAGGGACATTAGCGAGCAGCTATATGGGAAATGGTGCAGCTGGGACTTGAACCAGCACTCAGAAGAGTTGAACACACCGTATCACAATGCTGGTCTATGCAATTCTAGAAGCTGAAAAGGCCACCTATCTTGTGACTGCAATTCAGAGACCTGGGAAAGTCGGTTGTGTATTTCACACAGCCTGAGTGGCTTGGGCCCTTGCTACCCATGTGGGGCTTCCAGGTGGAGTTCTAAGCTCCTGACTTCAGCCTGGCGCAGCCCTGATTGTGTCAGCTACTCGGGGAGTGAACCAGTGGCTGCAAGGTCTCTCTTTCTCCCCTTCCATGTATTTCTGCCTTTCAAACAAATACATCTTTGAAAACAAAACAAACAAGAAATTAGTTAAACGCAGCAAAATGGAAAAAAAAACTCACAGATAACATATTCTCTTTTAGATTGGTGACTATCTGTTTTCTGGTAGAAAGGGATGTTATATATTTTTGTGTAACTGTATTTTTCCCATAATAGTATGAGCAGGTGTATCCAAGTAAATAGTAAATGATTAAGTCTTTAATGAAACTTAAAAACAAGCAAGTGGATTAGCAATGAACATATATTGAATTTTACCTATTATTTGCAATATCATCCTCAAGCGACTTACATTTTTTCTGTGCCTAGGAGCATTATTCTCTATTCCATTGCTATCATCTGATTTCCTGTACAGAAAACAAAAGGGGAAGATCACTACCTGTTTACGATGCCTAAAATTAAGTCAGGGCACCATTTCTATCATGGCTAAAAGGTTAAAACTGTAAAACATCAGTGCAGACAGAATTTTTCCTTGCTAAAATGTTTCACTCATAATGTTAATTTTTATTTTTTTTTAGGCCATGGCTTGGCATGGAGTTAGTGCCCCAATGACTGTGTAAAAGGCTTGTCCATCTTAGCCAAAGAAAAAATTTGTTTTTCCCTAAGCACAAGTGGAGCATGAATTTATGATTATGGTACATAACCTAATGTATTGCTTCAAAACATGCAAGATACAAGTCAATTAAGTGCTCAGCCAACTTCTGTGCCACTGGTGTTACAAGCTGAGGTGCCTATTATGTTGAATTAGAGGTTAAAATTTGCTCTGTATCTACTCCGTGTGCATTAAAGCAAGACCACAAATGCAAGCTTTGGGTTCTTAGGAACGCCTCTCCCCGGTCACCAGGATGCGTAATAAATGCCCTTCAAGGTCTTATGCACAAGCTCACTGATTAAGCTATTACCCTAGATAATAAAACCAACAACCCCAACAATTCTGACAAAAAGTCCAAGTGCTGGTATATGAGATTGTAAGGTTTAAATAGCAATGAAGCAGATAATTGGGGAGGTTTCATTGAACTACTTGTAGTAACTGGCTTATATTGACATTATACCTTTAGAACTTTTTAAAAAAATAATTTTTACCAAGAAATGTAAATGAATTGCAGATATCCAATAGATACATATATCTATGTATCTATGATTCATACAGAAATCTATTTTACATATTACATATTAAAATGTCATCTGCCCCCCAAAATTAAGTCAGTATACCATAGATCTTAACTAAAAAAGAAAAAAAGAAATTCTGTCGTTTGCAACAAAAATGGCCCCAACTAGAGATCATTCTGCTCGGTGAAATAAACCAATCCCCCAAAGACAGGCATGCTGTGTCCTCTCTCATATTAGGCACTCTTCATGCAAAGATAGATAGATTTATAGGCAAACATGTATATGTATAAATTCTCCTAGGTGAACTGTAGAATGGAAATTAGCACACTGGGAAGTGAAGACACACTGCAGTATGCATCTCTACTCCTGAGTAAAAGGAGAACTCCCAATGAAATTGCTATATACATCCTGATAATAAAATATTGTCTATACCACAATATCATGACACACTTAGATAGCAGAATGATGGATTTGTAACTATTGCTGAAAGACCACACTATTGTAGTAATATAGAGGAAAATGATGGGTGGGGCAGGGTGGATTCCTGTGCCTATAGAACCATGTCATGAAAACAAAAATCTAAAAAGATACTAATATTGGCATATTTTGTGAGTTCAAATGTCTTTGATATTCATATTAAGTCCAAAGATACTGCTAACAACCCTATCTTGAGAAAGTCAAAAATATTTCAATGGTCTTTACAGCAAAGACAGAACAGACAAAACAGTGGCCAGGATGGTGGCATAGTGGGTTGAGTTGCCACCTGCAATGTGGCATTTCACATGGGTGTCAGTTCAAGTCTGATCCCTTCCATGGCCAATCCAGCTCCTGGCCAATATGCCTGGCAAAGCAGTGGAAGAAGGCTTAAGTACTTGGGTTTCTGTACCCACATAAGAACCCCTGTGAAGCTCATGACTCCTAGTTTCCTTCTGGCTGAGCCCCACACTCGGTAGATATTCTGAGGAATGAACAATGGATAGAAGAGCTGTTGCTCTCCTCCGCTCTCTCTTTCAAATAAATAAAAGCTTTTTTTAAAAAAAGATATAAAATAATACGTACATTATCCTAAGTTTTAGAAAAATAAAAATTCATCTTTGTATTTTAGAAAGAATAAAACCTGAAGTGAACATAACAGGATGCCCACGTTCTCCAGAGGGCTGAATGCCCTGGAAAAGGGCAGTCTTTCCCAGCTACCAGACTGTTTTTTTTTTTTTTAAGATTTATTTATTTTTATTGGAAAGTCAGATTTACAGAGTGAAGGAGTTTCAAAAAGAGCTTCCATCCACTGATTCATTCCCCATTTAGCCACAACAGTCAGAGTAGAGTTGATATGAAGCCAGGAGCCAGGATCCTCTTCCAGGTCTCCCATGTGGATGCAGGGTCCCATGACTTTGGGCAGTCCTCCACTGCTTACCCAGGCCACAAAAGCAGGAAGCTGGATGGGAAGGGGAGCAGCCGAAATACAAACCAGAGCCAATATGGGATCCTGATGCATGCAAGCAAGGACTTTAGCCACTCGGCTATTGCACTGGGTTCCATTCCTTGTGATTCTAACACAACACTTTAGCACCTCTCACTTTATGGATACTTTAATTATTTTGTGTCCTTAATTTGGAAATTCACATGTTGTTGATGAATTTTCTCTCCAACGTGTGAGTTGCTCAAACATACAAATTGAAACCGTGTCCATGAATATCCCAGAGCTCTGCCCCTTCCAGTTTGTGATTTCAACACCAGCACCTCACAGTACCCGTTGCCTTACAGGGCTAAAGGTCAAGTGCTGTTTTATGTTGCTAATGGTTACTAAAGCCTCCCTTTTCTCAGGTTTCTTTCAGCTTCCTACATCTGACCTCATTTCTTGGTTTCCTGTACTTGGCTCTTGTTCCTCCCGCTTGGGCACCTTCCTGGTTGACTTTCACACTCAGCTCTCAGGCTCAGGGAACCAGCCACTTGATCTGCACCACACCGAATTACATGTTGGTGACTTTATTCCCACTTCTCTCATGTAAATGAGGGAGTGGTAAGAAAAGACATGGCACAGTTTGTGTCCTCTGAAAAACAATAACAAAGGGAATCCTAGGCGGGTACTTCTCAACACGACAGCATGAGAACCACCGGGAGACGTTTATGAGAGATGCAGATTAGCAAGCCCCAATTTCAGAGACGCTGAACGTGGAAGTGCAGCAAGGCCTGTGCACCTGCAGTTTTTAATGATCCTCTTAAGTGACTGAAAAGGGAGCCAAGGTGGGGCATCACTGTTTTGAGCAAACATGGCTTACTAAACACCCATGCTAAGTGTTTCTCATGTGCAGTATTTGTTCAGTTCAACAGCTTTATGTGGCAAGCAGTATTATTAAACAAACTTGGTAAACCAGAAGACAGAAGCACACGGAAGGGAGCATGGTCAGCAGTGGAGGTGGGGTTCTCACGCAGACCCTGCATTCTGGATGCCAGTCTTCACTGTCAGAAGGGTGGCACAGATACTAACACATACATCTCATACTCCTGCCTTTTTCTCTCCACAACAAATCTCCATTCGGTTTCGCATTGGTGGTGATTGTACTCAAGTGAAATTAATCGATCAAATGTAATACTTACAACTGTTCGATTTGTTCGAATTCTCTCCCCCTCTCTGTAAGAAGAAATTGACAATTACGATTAACTTGATTTTTTTATGGGACGTGCATGTCCAACTCAACCTTTCCTCTTACCTATGAATACACTGTACTATGTTTCCCCTTCAAAAGGGGGGAGACACGTGCTGCATTCTATAACTGCGCTTACTACAACACCACCCCCTTCATCTACGCTCTGGCCTCAACTGCATTTCTGCCATTACTTCTGCCATTACTTACAATAGCAAAAGCATACAGCACAAAAGCAGGGAAGAATACAAGATGCTGAGGATACCATCAGCTTTTCCCCCTCATCATTCACTGGGCAAAGACTACAAAAGTTGGAAATCAATAGAACGACGCTTAATTTCCAGGAAATCCAGAATGATAAAAAAAATTTAAGGGCATTATCTAAATGAAAAATAATTGCTTGTGTTTGAGACTTTTATATTGTTATCGCATGCTTTTTTCTAACACGCAAATACTAACACAAATATCATCTAGTTAGTTCATGCATAGTCACAAGGAACATCAAAAGAAAAAGAATATTAATACTAAAAATGTTTTAAAAGTTGAAACAGGAAGATGATGGATATGGTGTCATCACAGTTATTAATGTGAATACTGCTCCAAATAAGAAAGAGTGACTCTAAAATCAGTGGAATATAGTGTCACTATATATAAGAGATTTAAGGATACCGGTCCTTATTCGTGATAACGTCATCTTAGAACAGAGATCCTACCTGGTCGCTTCTTTTTCTTCTGTGTGTACAGTTCACAAAGCAGGATAATGGCCACTAAAAGAACAACCTCGGCAACTATTGCAAGGAATGGCTTGAGAGGCACCCAGAAGCTCAGCACGACAAGTTCAATGTGCTCTTCACTCTCGCCTAGTTGGAACAGTGCCTGGCACCAGTAGGATCCCCCATCGTCCTCTGAAAGATGCATGATCTTGAGTCTTGTTTCATTAGCATATGTTCCATTGATCACATACTTATCATTCATTTGAACATCAACAGGAACCTAGTACAAGAAGATGTGACACTCCATTGATATCATATGGCGTAAAAGTTTACGTATCATATCTGTTAGCCCTACCTTCAGACCAGAGAAGGTCTCCCCAAGAGGCCACTGAACTTATCTGGACAATAAGACGCTGAACTTTATGCTAGGCATGTGTTTGCAAGGAATGAATCTCAACTGAACTTGAACTATGGTTATGCAACAAGGTGGAGGAATCCACCATGGGGGGAGGGGTATGGGAGGGGTGGAGGGAATCCCCAGCGCCTATAAAACTGCACCACATAATACAATGTAAACAACAATAAAATTAAAAAAAAAGTTCTAAGGATGCCAAGAAAATTTCTGACTATGAAAAAATCATGTTAACATTTGTGATAGGATTGGCTTTGCTGTACAGTGAGTTAAGTCATTGCCTGTAATGATAGCATCTCATATTGGTGTGCTAGTTCAACTCCCAGATTCTATGCTTCTTATTCAGCTCTCTGCCACTGTATCTGGGACAGCAGGAAAAGATAGCCCAATTATTTGGGCCCTATGTGGGAGAAGTGAGTGGAGCTCCAGGATCCTGAATTTGACCTGATCCTGTGTTGGCTATCACAGCTATAAGAACCAACAGATGGAAGACCCCTCTCCCCACGTCCCTTTCCCTTTGTCATTCTCTTTCAAATAAATAAATCTTTTTTAAAAAAAAGTGTGAGAAATTGTATATTGCAGAGCATAATCCCTATAGATGTCTATCTCCCAAAGTGCAAACAAAGAAGTATCCTTTATCACAAGAATTCAGTAAGGAATGCTGGAAACTATAAACAAGTAAGTAGTCCATCATAGGCAAATATAAGAACCAAAAGCAGAAAAATTCCAGGTCTTCGAGTTTCACATTCCAATCCCAACTACTCTTCAGAATACTTCCCCCTTCAGGGCTGACACAGGCACTGGCCCTGGAGCTGGTATTTCTGATCATGGCTGTTTAAGGAAGATGAGTCAGTGATAACAGGAGTTGCCAGGCTGGCACTCATTGTGAAATTCTAAGCCTTTGGAGCTGAACATAGCAGGAATGATGGAGCCCCTCAGTAGCATCAGTCCTTCTGGAGCCTGTACTGCTGCACGTCCGGGTGCTCTTCCAGGCAAGCTGGCTCTGAGATTGGCTGGGTTTTCCCCAGACCTTCAAAGCCATTGGGAACTGTTTTATTTGATCTATTTAAATTAAATTTTATTTTCAGATCATCTGATGCCTTTGCTGCTCTACCACTCAACTCTCCTTTTTAATAAATGCTAATCTACATACAACTCGTCTCAGAGGTTTTCTGAAGAATTGTCTTTGAGCTTGTTATTTACCACAGACATTACACCAACCTGGCTCCTTAGGCATTGCACTGCTTGGCATGTCTGTCCCAAATGCATGCTGAGTCAGATAAATATGAGTGCAACTACTACATTTGTAAGCAGTACCAGATTTTGACATAAATAATGGATCCAAATTTTGAAAAAGCATTTGATGTAACATTTAACCTTAGAAGCTTTTCCTTGCATTTTTCTCACAATCTAATGTGACCCACGCTCAGGGCCAATGTAAGAGGATAGTAAGTACAGCCGATGGAAAGACATTCAGATATGTGTAAAATTATACAGATTTAGGCTCTTATCTAATATCACAATGCAAAGGTAAGCTAGGTTATATTTTTCAAATATCAGTTGACATTTTTATGAATTTGCAAAATTTTGCAAAGATATTTATATGTAAGAACAATGAATGCCATTCCCAATCACAAACAAAAGTGATCAAGATTGCTTTGGAGCTATTTCACTGAAGAATGTATACTGACCAATATTGGTGTAAAGCTCTCATTGACCCTTGTAAGTTTTTCTTTTATCGACTTTCGATTGTCTAGATAGCACTAATATTGTTACAGAAGGAATTTAGCGTCTCATCGTAAAATCATATGTTCTTTCTAGAATTAGGGCTTGCTTTTAACAGACCTTGATCATCTCAATTCTTCCTTAGCACCAAGGCAGGAGAAGGGCGCCATAAAGAACGGTGCTCCAATTTTCCAACCATGAGAAGCTATTTGATAGGAAGCCAGGAATGACTTGAATATGCATGCTTGTCTTCCTATCATCAACTCTCTGAACAGCCATTTCTCGGGTGATGGGAGGGTTGGGAGGCTGGGGGTGGCTTCTCCCCTTGTTTTCCTCCTTTCCCAGAAATGGGAATAAGAAATAGAAAGTTTGAAAACAATGATCACACTCGCCCTGATCAACAATGTAAACCTCACCTAAAAAAATGCTATATCTGACCATTTTTCAAATGGTGCCATTAAATCACATTACATCAAAGTTATTTCAGGAGACAAAATCCGGAAACGAATGCTTTTATGAGTTTATTTCTGAGCTGTTCTATCTAAAATAAGTTGTAACCGCCTTTACAAGTATTAATCTAAAAAACAAAATACCAGGAAACGAAACAGAAAGAGTCCCTTCAGATGTAGAAGGTAACATTGAAATCATTCAATGAAGCTCCATTTTTTTGCAGTTCTTTTTTGATGGACACATATTAAAAGATAACATCCCTAGGAATGTTGAGTCTGTTAGAAACTTTTTATTTATGAAATAAAGACTCTGTTGATGTTCTTCAAATCAAAGCAACATGTCCTTACCTGAATACTTCCATTACTACTGTACCAGCTCCAATTTAAAGGAGAGCAACCTTCACATTTACATGTCAAGACGGTAGAATCCCCCACATAGGTAACCAATGGCTTGTTTTTTCTATGAAGTTCAGGGACTAAGAAAATTTAAGAGAAATGTACATTTTACTAACAGAATTGAAATACAGAGGGAAGGGGCACATAGCACACCTTAAGACATTTTCTAATCTATGCATCATTTTCTATATTTCCTTTCAGTCATGTATAAAATAAATCAAACTTATAATAGTCAGGGGGTAGTTTTTCTTACAACATTAATCGTACTAGTTATATAACCCCATATAATTGGTTTCCACGTAAAAAAAGAAAGAACATTTTTTAGGATTGCACATAAGAATTAGAAGTATTATGAAACTGGTGAATATTTTAGATAAGAAAGCATTTCAAGTTTTTGATCCAATTCATTTTTCATACCTATTGCTTCCACAGAACAATTATTTTCAGAGTTTTACTGTTAGATAACATTTGAGTCAGGAGACAAAAGGTCCAGAATGTAAAATTTTTGTTGAAACAGAGTATGAAGAGAGAAAGCAGTAAGGTGAGAAATTGAAAAGAAAGCAAAGGAACATAGAGCAAACTTTAAAACAAAAATGAAACATTTTCATGCTCTCTTATAAAATAACATTTACCAATGTTAATCATTATTATGTAAACTGAACTACAAATTTTTATTGATTTCATTTTTTTTCATATATCAATTATAACAGGTTTGGGGGTTGTGGATTTTGTTGCTTTGGGTTTGGTTTTTTTTTTTAACTTTCATTCATTTAGTATGGCAGCATGGGAAAGAATGAATGAAGTTTTGAAATCTTAATACTCTAGATCATCATGATAAATGTTAAAGATATTACTTAATATTCACCTATTATTCAATTTGTAGGCTTTATATTTGAGAGGGTCAAAGAAGGGAACATGAAATTTAATTGCTGAAGTTAAGCTTGCGGATTAAGTATGTTTTCTAAGCAGTACTGTTATTAGCTCTCCAAAGACAACTGGGGAGTTGCGTAAAGTAAGAATTAGAAGGGTGAAAAAGAGGAAAAGGGTGGCAATAGCTGGAACAGAAATTCGGGCTTGTATGAGCATCAGACAAATGGTAAAACCAAAGTTGAAAAACAGGTTTCTCTCTATGGGTTTTGTCCTTAGGCAATTATGGTTACATGAGTGAAAGTTTAATGCCCCAGTTGTTTAAAATGGGCCTCAACTGTCGAGGACAATATAGTTTGACACATGACTCTCCTCTGCTGCTCGCCACCAGCACATGAGTGGAATACAGCTCCTAATAAGGAGTGGCACGGAAGAAAGCATATCACCCAGAAAGGCTTAAATGCTCCAAAAATCAGAAAGAAAGGTAACGTGTAACAAACCATGGTTCCCCAAACCAAGACGACATGTTTTGATTGAATCTCTACAGTTTAACACTAGTCAAAGTGGTGAATTACTCAACCAGGTATATAATCACCCCACAAATCGTCTATGGACACCTCGGGAGGAGCTACCAGGATCCCCAAAGGAATGTGGCACAAGAAAGGAGTACATGTGGCTGGGTTAATATAGTCCTACTTCAGCCACGGCAGCCAAAGAAACTAAGGAGGTAACACTAAAAGATACAGAGTTGTTTTTAGAGAAATTTAAGAGTGCCCCACACTTTCTTCTGGCCACCATTATGTTGAGGACATCAGAGGAGATGTAGCTAATTTCAGAAGTCAAATCAGGACTGTTAGAAGGTGTCAACACAAGGACAATATTTCTTCCATGGACATGACAAGGTCAGGTTTGCATGTGAGATTTATTTACCATAGAATGATTCTTCTGTAGTACTGAACTCCAAGGAAAAAGTGCTTTGTTAAGGATTAAATGAGATGACAATGCTTGGTGCTTTTTTTGTGTGTGATCAAGCATTAGCAATGCATTCTTAAATTTTTTTTTCTTAGAATTTGGGATGCTCATGCCCTTCTTATATAGTGTTCATTAGTCAGAATTAAAAGATGGATAATCTTCAGGAATAACAACGGGCTTTCGCCTTGTGCAGCATAGAAGACATAAAGCAAAACAAAAAACAAAAAAACTGGAGAACTGGAAATTCACCTGAACTCATCTCAGAATCATGGGAGCGTATCAAAACACATAAGGATGAGGAAAGAGCTCTAACCTGAGTTCTTTCAGAACAAGTACTTCATCTAAAAATGTGGAGGACACCATTAGAAAACAAGACACACACACATTAGAACATGTCTTCACAGCAGACAGGGCCCAGGAAAAGAGAGGAATGACAGGCACACTGAGGTGTCATTGATAGTACAAATGCAACTTTTCATTGAATCTGTAAAACACACACTCTAATAGGGTTAAAAACACTTATTAATTCAGTTCGCTCATTTTTATCTATTTGAAAGGCAGAAATACAGAGTTCCCATCTATTAGTCCACTCCCCAGCTGCCCGCAGTAGACCAGATGGGGCCAAGCTAAATCTGGATGTGAGAACTCAGTCCAGGTCTTCCACATGGTGGTAAGTACCCAACTGCTTCAATCATCACCTGTTACCTCCCATGATATGTGTTAACAGGAAGCTGGAGTTAAGGAAAGAGCCAGGTCAAATCTGGTCATTGGGATATAGATACAGGCATGCCAGGAGGCATCTTAATGGTTACAACAAATGCCTGCCCCAAATCCTATCATTTTAAGCACACATTCAAGAGCTTGGCTAAAGCAACTGAAAGAGATCATTATTGCATGAGTTTTTTTAAGTGAGTAAATTACAATTCAAGCCAAGGTACCAATCACAAGAAATAAAATTGATTAAAAAGTTAACAAGAAAATTTTGCTTCTAGATATATATATTGTACAGAACAACAACAACAAAAAATGGGTGGAATAACAAGTTTACATATTACAAAACATAAGAAAAAAGAAAATAGCTAATTCACAGAATACTTAGTTATAATGAAAAATATTAAACTTTTAAATTAGAAGCCTCCTATGGTCCAAATCTTCTTTAAATTCAAAATAATAATAGTAACACAGAAGTTATCTCTGAGAAGTTCTGTCCTAGTTTTGTTAGTTTGGTTTGATTTCCTTATTCCATAGTTAAATTTATTCATAGATCCACCTAACACCAAAATGGAGGAAAATATCCAAAATATGAAATGTGTAAGAAATTCTAGAAGGCAAAAGAATAATAAGCCAATTTTCTGTCAAGACGTTAATGTAACAACTTTATTTTCTTGAAAAACAAATGAACAGAATATTTAACTGTCAAAATGTTGAAGCCTCAACTAGGCATAGCCATAGAACATTTTATTCTAATTATTCTTATGATAAATCTAGCTCCTACCCTAGATATCAGAGGTCATGGCAGGTTTTGTGGACCGAGTTCCCTGCTGACCTCTCCACAAACCTCTTCCAGGCATTCAACTCTTCTGTTTTCTATCCCTTGAAGGGAGGATTATTCTGCTTAGTCAAAGTCCAGGACACTTCCTGAACTCTCCTTCCTAAAACTGGGAATTTGTAGTGGACACAAATAACTCAGCCCCATGATCAGCATTTATTTTCTCTGGCTTGTAAGGTTGTAACTTTCACTCCAGAACTATAAGTGCCAGACCTACTTTGTTTTGTGAAGGAGTAGTCTGGTCTGCTCTGGTTTAATGTCAATAAGACTTTGCCAAGGAAAAAAGAGGCCAGCTCTTCATAGCCAAGCCTTTCAAAGGTTTCTGTAACAAGATTTCTGTCCAAGACTGGTCAATAATACCTCATAATGTATTTTGTCTCTCTTTGAAATGTATTTCCCAAACTGAAATTTTGCTGTGTTGGCTCAGCCAAGGACTAAGTTACTCTTGGATACCTGACAAAGTACTGCCAGTTCCAATCAATATTTAATCATACTTCTCTCCAAAATAATGAATGTCTGGTATGATTTTATGAACTGTGGGATACATGAGAACACAGAGGTGTTGAGGGAGAAATCAACCTAGATAAGGATTACTGGAACCAAAGGCCCATAGATTAAGCACAGGTAGGAGCTTAGCTACAGTGGGCAATCTTTTCGGAAGCTACAAGGTCCCCAGAAGCCACCGACAGAGCAAAGCCACCCTTCTTGAATTCCATGTAAAGAGGCACAAGGAACAACGGTGTGGCTCTGCTTCAAATGTTTCTACAGCCACTGTAAAACAAACTCTGCTTGGAAGAACAGACTCCTAACAGGTCGTGTTATGCGAGTCAGAGCCGCAGTTCTTCCTCCAAGCTGTTTAGCTTCCAGATTTCTCAACCTCAGAGTGTTTCTTTGTGAACACTAGGTCATGCTTCAGCAGGAAACGCTGTGTTGAAATAAGATTATAGTATTGAAATTCACCCACAGGCTAAGAATCAAATGTGGAAGGAAGGCAGTGTTTTGTGGAAAACATATTTGTTAGCCTCTAGCCCATAATTAGCAGCTACAAGGTTATGTTGGGTAGTCTATGAAATTCAGATGAGGAATTCACTGCTGTGCTATGAAATACGGAGACCAGGCTGTAGACCCTAATGACTAACGATGACTGAGTCAAGATGTGGAGACACCAAAACCAAAACTTTGTTTTGCTTTCATCTCTCTCCTTCCCACCCCCACCCCCGACTATTCCCTAAACAAATGCTCAAAATAGCATTAAGCATTCCTCTTGACTCTGTCCTATATGGCTAATAACTACAGTATGGCATTAAATGGTAAGATATATTGTATTCAGGGGATATTAACTTGTTTGAACTGTTCTAGAAACCACAAATGGTTCTGAATCACTGCTTGTTTAAGGTAGGGCATATTTATCAACATATAAGGGCACTGAGCCAGCATTCTAATGTACCCTGTTCATCTTCTGAAAATTTGGATGACATAAGACAAAAACAAAAAAAATCTTGGGGTTAGAATAAACCAGATCAAAGATGGTGAAATTGCTGATTCTTTCCAGCTGAGGCTAATTTTGAAGAGAGGTACTTATCAAAGATTCCAGGTTGCTAGCATGCCCAGCATCTGTCAAGTGTGCAATAATGTACTGCTGTGCCCTCACTGTTCAATCACCTCTCACTCACAAGATGACTTTTCTTCCCATGGGCTCCTTTCATGAGGAGCGCTCTGAACAGGCTCACCGCTGTAATTCTTTATATTTTTCCTGTAATCTTTTTAGGTTTGGATTCATCTAGATGCTTCGTTATTTAGTACAGTAGCATATTGTAGAGTGTGCTGGCTAAGGACCAAGAGGCAGAGATGCTGACTGTGCAGCAGGCACACCATCTAGGTTTTGTGTTAGTAACCTCTTCGTGTTCGTGCAACAAGAAAATTGCCCAACAGTGCCTTTTTCTTTTCCTTCATAACATATCCCTGTCCTTAAGTGACATGGGACTGTATTTTTCAAAGTCCTAACTTAATGATAAACCTTTGTGCACTTTTCACTATTACAAATTTCCAGAATCCCAAGTTGTAGCGCCATTGACAGAAAATATCAACTCTATTCTTACAGGTTGAGAGTATACCAACTTAAAAAATGTTGAATTTAGATGGCTACAGAATAAATTCAAGGTACTTATATGATTTACAAAAACATGGGTTTCCAGCTTTCAACACTAAATTCTGTTCTTTTCACTAAGGGAATAAAACTGAAGGATACAAGCCATCTTCAAGTTGCCTCTCGTGATTCAGCAGAAAGCATATGATTCACTTCCAACTGCACTTTTAAAATTATAATAATTTTAATATATTTTGATTATATTTTTTGTTATAGTGATAAGTTAAAACTTGGGAGATTCAGAAGTTTAGGACAATAATGCTGAAATTATTATTTCCCAAGTTGTTAATACTGACCTTTAATATTAAATGTTCCCCTCTGCATTTTTTCATCTTCAAAGAAACAAGAATATGTTCCCATTTGTTTGCTGTTAACAATGGTGAACCTAAAGATAATTCAAGTTATTAATATAAACTTAATCTCAGCAAAAAAAGCCCTCTTAATGAAAGTGAAACTACAGTAATTAATCAAAAATTTCAAACCAAAATGATTCTGTAAATACACAAAGTAGGACATTAGCATAACACTCAAAGTGAGTATAAGGTGAAAAATGTACACTTAGAATTTTCTGACACAGATCATCGGCCTGCAATGCAGACTGGATTTTGGCATACTTACGCATACTGGGTAGACAAGATGTTTCCTGTTGTATTGATGAGATAATGATCCTTCAGTGGTTCATTATCTTTTTTCCAAGTCACATTTATGGAATTCACATCTCCAGATGTTGTGAACTGGCATGTGAGTTCTACATTACAAGACCTTTCTACAGTGATATTTTTTTCCACTGGCATACTGGGATGTTCTGTTAGCCATAGAAAAGAAAACAAAATGTTCTGGGAGTTACATTCAGGGAATCCATTATAGAGAACATTTCAAGTTATTAACGATAATACAGTATCACAGTTCTTTAATGTAACATTCATTTTATCTCTAAAGCACATTCCTCAGTCAACACAGATCTCTGTACTTTTCATACTCATTCATAACCACAGCTAAATAAAGTTTTGACTTAACGCTCATACCATCATAAAAACATGTGGGTGTGACAAGATTTACTAAAAGCTATGTAGCTGAGATACTAGCAGAGAGCAGAACCTGTGTCCGTGCCCTGAGAGTGTAACACCAGAACAACAGCAGAACAACTGTGATAAAGGATGCACATCATCAGGTAAGGGAGGAGTGATGATTTTCTCTTTTCAGGAACTCTGCTGATGGCTATTACAAGACCATTTACTGTGTGGTGTGGATTTGAGCCATACACCATGTGTTGTCCTTCCTACTCAGAACCTACCAGACAAGAGTCAGTCAGAGAACTGAAGGTGTGCTCTGTAGTTATGCTTTTAACTGAGTTTCAAACATCAGGATGAATCGCATGGTGTTGTGTCTTAAAGGAATATATACATACATATACACACAGATATATATTTGTAATATAAGTACATGCATATGTTGAAGGAGTTCAGACTGCCAATAGTGCAGCAGGCATTTGAACAGAAGGCATCTGAGGGAATGAAGCCTCTTTTCTAACTCAAAGCAGAGCTTTCCCTGAGAACTCAAGTGTCCTAAATTCCCATCCCCAGGAGCAATTAAGGAAGACTGACTCATCCCAGAAGTTTTCGCAGGACACCTAAACAATGCTGCAGAACTATCAAATCTCCTATCTCTTCTCCTAACAGAGAAGTCATTTCATTTTCTCTCTATGTTCATTCACCCTCCCCCCTTTCACTGTTACGACAACATATGGATGAAGCTGAAGGAAATTAAGTTAAATGAATCAAGTCAAGCACAGCTAGACACATACACTAAATGTTCACATGTATAGGAAAGCTAGAATAGTTGCTACCAGAGCCAGGGAAAAATCCCATTTTTCTTTTAAGGGCGTGTGTGTGTGTGTGTAGATACATGATTAAATACCTCCCACTGACGGAGGATATGTGTGTGTGTGTGTGTGTGTGTGTGTGTGTGTGTGTGTACAGCCAAGCTTAATGTTGATTAGTGGGAAAAAAAATGGAAAACTAGCAAGCATGTACCATGATGGCTCTTTACTAACTGTACTGCTGGCTGGAGAAGGAAAAATTTCTCTTTATAAAATAATTCAAACAAATAAATAAAAACAAACCATAGAAGCCTAAATATGACAAATGATGCTGCATCTCTCATTAATCAGCAACCTTAACATTTTGGATCAACCATTGAAAGAATCTACAAAAACATAACTGAATGGAAGAATATCCCACCACCTAGGACATCATCTTGTCAAAAGCAGGGAAATCTTGAAACCAACCAAAGCTTCAGATATATTTCCATTTATTTACTTATTTACTTATTTATTTATGAAGTAGGGAGACACACAGAAAGCTCTCCTTCCTCCATTTCCTAATTCAGCCTTAAATGACTAACTCAGCCTGACCCAAGGTCAAGAGCCAGGAATTCAGGTCAGGTTTCTCACAATGGAAGCAAGGGCCAACTACTTGAGCTATGACACTCTCTCTCAGAGTCTGCATTAGTAGGAAGCTAGAAGCAATAGCAAAGCTGGGAATTGAACTCAAGTACTCTGATGTGGAACATAAGTGTTTCATCCTACCTCTTTTCATTATTATTGTTATTATTATTATTTGGCATGATGCATTGATTCCCTCCCCTCCCTTCCCTATGCTATTCCCCTCCTCTAACTCCACTTCTCTTAACCCCTATGTTTGCCACATATTCTAAGTCCATTATAGAACAAATATAAACTACATTTCATTCAATGCACGAGATGCAGACATGGGAAAACTCTATAAGAAAAACTATCTGGGCTTTTTTCAATAGAAAATTACAAAATAGAGACAAAAGAGCCATCCTTGGGAAATTTGAAAATTATGTGATACTTATTTTTAGAAATGCCTGTGGGGTGAGCATTGTGATGCAGTGGATTAAGTCACTACTTGGGATTCCCACATTTCATTCTTTAGAATCTCATTGCAAGTCCTCAGTCCCAACTCCACTTCCAATCAAGCTTCCTGCCAGTGTGCACTTGGAATGAGCACATTGCACATCTAAGTCAGCACATGAAACACCCGATGACTTGTGATGTGGATTCTTGGCAGACATACCAGGAGAAACAGAAAGCAGAGGACCTACTGTCTATGTGCAAGAACCATGCATAGGCCTGGAGATGTGGAACACTTGACCCCATTGTTTGATGTTTTATTGTCCCTTGGAATGCTGCCTGAGCCTTTTCTTCCCACAGTAGAGCTACTTATCTACCCTGAGCTTGGAACTGTTATGGGTTACTCTGACCTTGTAGAAACTTAGCTTATCTGTGCTCGGCACACCTGCTTTCCCACTGCTTGCATTATGTTTTTGTAAAAGTATAAAAACCCTCACTTTCTTTGTTTCAGTGTGTCATCCTGTGAGGTGATGGCAACCCTTTTGCCATGATAAAAAATTCAGTTCTGCATGGCCTTGTGTCCTTTGTTAATTAATCCCCAGCATACTTGGGTCCCTGTCCCCCACATAGAAAGCAGACTGCGATTCTTGCTCTTATCTTCAATGTGGCCCAGCCCTGGCTGTTGTAGACATTTCGGGAGTGAACCAGTTCATGAAAGAACTTCCCTCTGCCTTTGGCTATGTCTCTCTTTCTGTCTCTATTTGTCTTTCAGATCAATGAATAAGTAACCCTAACAATATTGTTAAAAGGAAAAAAAATGAAACTAATATTTAAGGATGTAACATTTATTAAGCTTCAGTAATAAAACAAAGTGGTGAAATGGAAATCAGAAGAGTATTAGTTGATTGTAAGAACAAATATTGCATTTGAGAGGGGTCACTACATCATATAAACCAATTTCCCAACATTTGCTCATGCCCAATAATGCCATGGAATTCAGAGCCACAATACAGAATGAAAAAAAAAAAAAAATAGAACATTAGTAAAATGCCAAGCCACTTTTAGCCAGGCTTAAAACTTTATAAAACGCTTCCTTAAGCAATGATCAGATGCCAAGTTCGCAAACAGTGAAGTACAGTTCATGTGAAGTGCTTCGTGAGCACCTACTTGAAATAACTGCTTGCGTAATTACAAATTTGCTGAACTGAATTTTATGCTCAACAAAAGAAAAAAAAAAACACAAAACCTGGATACAGAAAGACCTTAAAAGGAGTCAAGTTATCTAGGGACAAATGAAGTATGTAAAAACCAAGGGATTTACATATTTCAGCATATTTGTTGAACACTTTCTATATGCCAGGTATTATCCTAGATATTAACAGCAGGATAGAATGTTTCAGGGCCAACTATATTTGGTCCTAGGCTCATGTTCCTGTGACTTTTCCTCACTGGATCCTTTTCCTGAGGCACACTTAAAATTCAGCCCTGTCTCTCAATCAAATATCTGTCACAAAAATGTACTTCACTGGTCAGTCTCCTGAAAGAAACAGCTGGCTAGATCCTCTGTCCTTACCTGAACTCCAGCTTCAGTACACATATTCTGAGGTGTCCCCCTCTTCACACTACCACATTTGCTGTCTTTTAGGTTAAAAATGGCCTCATTACTTAACCCAGTGTTCCCTTTCCAGAGTTCATGTCTTAATTGATGCCTCAAAAATATTAGATGTTGTTATGCATCAATTCCTTGAAATTCCCTTTACTCTGCTTCTAGTACACGCTGTTGAACATCTTTGATTTAGTATTAAATATTTTAACATTTTCCTGATCACATCAAAATCTTCTAATCATGACTAAAACCTTGATGCCTCTCTTATCTTGCTCTCTTGTCTCTTGTTTCTCAACTTGACACTCCCGTGGTGGGTTTGACTATTTCTTGGGATACCATTGTTTGTTTTGAATACTCCAAATTCCACTCAAGATTTCTTTCTTAATTTACAGACTTGTAGCTCCAAGTATCTGCTGAGCATGTAAACTGAGTATTCTGCAGCCATTTCAAACCTGGTGTAACCGAGGGAATACCTTAGCCTTCCTTTCCACGATTCCTAACATTGAATCACATACATGTACGTTCACTTGATTCTCCTCTGAAATATCCATCAGACTTTCCTGTTCTCTTCAATCCTTGTTATTATGGTTTTCATTGTCTTTCACCAGAACCAGGCAAACGATTTTCAAACTTCCATTAGCTAGTTTGTCTTCTTTCATTTTGAAGTAACGACACCACATCTGTCCTTCTAAGAGCAAAACTAAGATTATTTAAGTACTTCGATTGGATGGATATCTTTCACTTGCAAATAAATTAAATTCGTGCTGGATACCAGACTCCTTATTTATAAAATGGAACAAGTTATTTCACGAGGCTCTGAAAGATGCTATTATAAAGAAAGCACTATTAATAGAACGGTACTGCAAAGAGTTTCCGAAAAAAAAACAAAATTAAAGCAAAAACTTAATTTGGTGAACAGTAGTTTGAAATACACACATGAAAGGGATCTTTGAGAAATCCATGAAAAAAAAAGTTAAAAAGAAGCAACCACTCATGGATTTCAAATAATTTTGACATCTATATGAGTGATCTTCTGATCCCATTTTTTCCACAAACCTCCTGAAGTAACCTTACCAAATGTATCAGATGCTCTATCAATGCCCACTTACTTCATCTCACCATTTTCCCACTGGAGAATATAATAAAAGCTCTGATGTTTGGTGCTAACATTCACCCATATCATTATCATACCATTTAATTTTAACAAATGCTCTGTGGTTCTGACATAAATGTCATGGTTGCTATTACATTAGCGGCAAGACAAGTAGAAATTGACTGTCTTGACCAGAATAACGCATTAAGGTAGTGAGTTGAATTTCCAATT